CGCTGTTGCTCTGTGTAGATCTTGAGCTGTTAGGCGCGCTATCCTAGCTTTAAAAATGACACTTCAGCTGGCTGTATGGAGAGAGAAAAAAAAAGAGAGAGAAAAGGTTACTTTCTGTAGTGGAACAAGTAATAGGTTTATTCCATGCTGAAAAAAAGAAGAAAGAGAACACAACGTTTCGGCCGTGGAGCCTTCTTCAGGTGTTATTCCATGCTTTTTTTTCAGCATGGAATAAACCCATTACTTGTTCCTTTGCAGCCTACGCATGCTGACGCAGCTACCCACCTGAACTACTTTCTGTTGTGTTGGTTAACGAATCGTATTGCGCGTTAATGCAAGCCGCCTGTCTTGGGTGTCTCCGATCGCAGCTGCCGATTACGGCGACCTGCAGGAGGCGCCCCTCTCCGTCCCGGTCAATCCCAACAACTTCCCCGCCAAACTCTGGCGCATCGTGAACAGCCCCCGGAGCCGCTCCATCCGCTGGGACCCCCGGGGCGAGGGCGTCGTCATCGACCAGCAGCTGTTCGAGGCCGAGATGCTGTCGCCCCTGCGGCTCGGCGGGGAGGCCACCGTGTTCAAGACCACCAACTTCACCAGCTTCATCCGCCAGCTCAACCTCTACGGGTTCAAGAAGGCGGTCCTGTCCCCCGGCAGCTTTCGGGACCTGGCCTCGGGCGACCTCGTCGTGGCGGGGGGGGCCTTGCACCATTTCCACAACCCCCATTTTCAGAGGGATCGCCCGGAGCTGCTGGTTAACTTGAAGAGGCTGACCAGCGCCAACAAGGCCAAGCTAGAAGCCGGGCTGGAAATCACCAGCCGACCTCCTAATCGCTTCCGAAGGCTCTGTACTAAACCGTGCGACCCCATAAATAAAGTAGATATACAGACAGACGGTAAGGAATCCGCTGTTGTTATAGCCCATGCGTGTTAAACGTGAATGTCACTCTTAAAATGAGGTGTATCCTACTCATTCTCTCTTTACCTTTCCCATTTTTATGTTTATGTCTCCGAAATCAACAACTTTTGCGTTATTGTTCTTTCTGCTTTTGTCTTATTTTTAAACATGATTAATTTTGTAAGCATTCAAAAAGACATTAGAAGATTATCAAGTAATTGCCATTTATATAGCTTTAAAAAGGTACCAAAATGAATTGAAGTTACATAGCGGAGCAAAATTAAACATTTTTGTTAATATATCTCTGTCAGACATAAAGCATTTATATTATATGTTCAATACCATTCACCTTGAATGTGGTTGCACTTTTATTATTTTGGGGCAAAGCGTGGTTTGTCAAAGTACATCTTTCTGTTGGTTAGCAAGCTTTGAAAGGGCTGCATTCCTGAAATCCTCAGCAGGAATGTGTTGAGCTGTTTTGTGTGACATTCGTAGAGCTTGTGAAGAAACAATGTCTTGGGGTTTGTCCAGGTTTTTCTCGCTGCAGTAGGTTGGTTTTCCAGCTGTGGATGTCCTGCCTGTAACACACTGTGATTGACCACCACAGGCTTGGCGACTGTTGCCCAGGTGCATCACGGGCTCCACAGAGATAACTCCTCCCCCTACCATTGTCACCCAAGGGGTTATGAGAGGACCCCCCACCCAAAGCGAGGCTGGCCCAGCTCCTTTGGGCTCCTCATGGGGCAGGGCGATGCCCCCTCATTCCCGTTCTCGGACAAGGGGATCTCCATCTCGGTCATGCCACGCTTCCACGGCGAGCTGGCTCACCCTGTGCAGTCCAGCCCCACCACTGTGCACGTCCAGCAGGGCCTGGGAGGCCCGGGACAGAAATACAGCGATTACATCCCTCCGCGCATGCAGTACCGTGCTGGCTTTTACCCTCCAAGTAAGTCCTTTCGTCACACCTTCAGGACCAAAGCTCAGTAATAGCCTCCTGTGCTGTTCATTGAGGTCAGTTTGCATTCAGCCCAGAATAAACTGAAGTAATAAGGTGAAGGGCTCATACCTGGCTGGGCCTAACTACAGTATTCACATGCTCATGCTAATCTGTCCCTTCAGAGTCCAGCTGTCTGCTCCTTGTTTCAGTGTCTTCTGCTCCTAAGTTCAACTTTAAATAATATACAGTATGTAAACAGAGAGAGAGATTTAATATCCTGAATAAATCAGATCCCAAGGGGTGGAAATATAGAAATGTGGAAATGATTATTTGTGTTCTTTTTGTATCAGTCTATCAGTACTGTACTCCTGGCTCCATGGATCCTTCTCTGACAGGACATCCCCTACACACCCCACCTTCATTCTCCAATTACAACTACTATCAGGTGGGTAACATTTACAGATTTTAAGATAAGAGCTTGTCATAACGTACTAGCAGGTTGTTGAGTCATCTCGGTTTCAACAGGTGTTGACTTTACATTTTGATTCCTTTCTTGAAAAGCACTGAATGAACGTAAGTTTAAAAAATGAGCAGAACCATCAAATCAGTGATGTACCACCATAATTACAAGACGTGCCTTGTCAGCTATTACTCAGCTAAAAGAAAGGTTTTGTGAATAGCCTGTGTGCGGAAGGGAATATTCAGAAGTGTCAGCACATAAAAACCCTAGCAAATTCTCATTTGTCAAAGGGAAAGGCAACAAAAGGTTTGCTAACATTATGCAGAGGAAATTAGAACTCCAAACACATCTACAGGGAAATGCACAGAGTTACTCGATTGCTACTGTATTTACTGAGAGTAGGGTAAGGTTACTCGTGAACAACAGAAAGGTCTGGTTGCTAGGGAGGGCCTCAGGCAGGCCATTTTTCAGAGAAGCACCTAGCCCCCTGTTCAAATACTGCCTTCTATTTATGAAACTGGCTATTTTTTTACATCAACACTATTGAAATACTATAAGTGCATATTTTAATTTGTCTAAATACAGTATGTAGCTTGTCTGTGACTTACAAGGAACTCCTTCCAGGCATAAGGCGACTTTTGAGAGCAAGCAGTTGCTATGAATCATGGGAATGTGATTATCAGGTAGTTCTGGCCATTTTACAATGCTAGAAAATAGAGCCTTCTAATTCCAGTAATTCTCATTCTGCTGGTCTGTACTATATTTAATTAAAGTATACAGTGCACTATTCTTAAGATGAGTAAAAAAAACAATAAAAATAAAATTAGCATTTTGCTTATACAAGAGCAGTCCAAACTGGTAGGGGGTATCAAACAGACACCCCCTTTTTCATTTACAAATTAAAACATAATCATTCGTGACAGCTCACCAGACCTGAAAAAAGTTCTGTTTTTTCTTTATTTGTTTTACTATATCTTTCCACCTTCTAATGCAGCCACCCTATCCAGTTGAATTCCTGCACCCTGGCAATCCACAGTGGCCAAGCAGCTCCACAAAAGAAACAAAGAAACCCGACGTTAACCTAGACACAGTCTTTCAGATGGTGAATGAGCTTCAAGACTCCCCCAAGCTCCGTATCGTCAAAGTGGAGACCCCAGAGAAAAACTCACAGGTGGTGCCACCCTCAGCAGAGAAGCAGCCTCCCAGTTCCAGTTTCTCTGGCTCAGCCCAGCTGAGCTCTCTTACCCCTGTCGACTCCAACATGTTCCCTTTACATATGGAGAGCAACCAGAGGCCCCCTAGTGGCCAAAACCCTGATTGCAGTTTAACCTATTCTATGCAACCTATTGATGTGTCAAAAATAGGCTTGCCAGACACTTTTCTGGATAATAGCTCACAGAACAGTCAGGGCCATGTTCTTCCTTCTCCTCAGTTATCTGGAGTGACACGGATGGATTCCTCAAGGAAGGTAAAACCCAATTATTTGGCCTTTTTTCTTTGTGTGTTTCCCTGGTGCAGCTTTTCAGTTGGTGTTACAACTAGTGTGCACTATTTTTTTTAAATGGATTAAGCAGTTTTTATATGTAAAGACCCAAAAGCAATAACAGACTAGTTATTTTCTCAATGTGTAATACTGGTTAACATTGTGGATGTCATTTAGGTGCTTTTGTTAACTGTATACTATTAATTAGCTTTATGAAACAATCTCTACTTGTTTCCAGTTGTCCACATGTGAAAATGGCTTTTAGGATACAAATGGTGGAAATATTCTGAATCTGTTTCAGGTTCTGAACAATGTAGAAAATCTTTCTGGTTACCATGAAAAAGAATCAGAGATCTTGTCAGACTCCAAACCCTGGGTAGACACCAACACAGAGAAGACCTCTGCTCCTGCCACTACCCAGACTGGGATGATTAAAAGGAATAGGTCTCCTGGTAATAGTTAAACAACTGCCGAGTCAAGACCTTGCCAAAGGCTTCAGATATTATTCTGTGCGCTCTTACAATGCTCATCAACAATTTAGATGAGATAAACACTTGAAAACAAATGCTTCAGTTTATATACTGTTGTTTTCCATAGCTTCAAATACTTTTATTACAGAAACTATAAGGAGGGTGTGGACTTAAAACTTAATTTTCCCCTTCTTTACACCAGGCTTATTTTCACATACTGTACATACTGTACCTATAGGTTTCACGGCCATGAATTAATAATTGTGAACTACTGCTGGAGAAGAGAGAAGTTGGCCACTTTCTCTTGCATTTCTGCTTTTATGGGGCGACATGAAGTTCTTAAACAGGTCTGTGATAGACAGAAATACAGTATTTGCCCACTCATCTTCATTATCCTTGATTTCCAAATTAAAAAAAACAAAATACTACCTACCGAATTGATAATGTGCTTGAGTTGGCATCACACAAATACCGTAGTATTCATGTTTTAATGTTTTTTCTGCATGTTAAGCAATAAGCACAATACCAAGTTATTACATATGTTATTGTATTATAATATGTGCACATTTTTAATCGTAATATAGTGAAGCACTCCAGGGCAATTTATAAGTAGATGAGCCAGCATCTTTGTAAATAACCTGTTTACTGTTTATCCTATAAATACCATACAGCACATCCATGAGTACAACACATTTGAAAAATGTAATAGGTTTTCCATTAAATTGTAGAAAGTTCATGTTACAATAGTATTACTGTATAACCAGATCCTAGATCCTGGATTCGAACCTTTGATAGGCTCAGATTTGTTTTTGATACATGGGCATCGTTTCACATTTGATACATTGGTTTAGATGGTTTTTGTATAATTCTATAATCTTTCCCGGGTAAATTCTAATCTGTGTTATCATAACACTACCACTAGAAAGAACAAAAATACTTTGGACAACTGATGGAATATCAAAGTAATTCCTGACATTGACTCTTTTTAATCAAGCAATACAGTGTATCTTAAATAATGATGTCATACTGAAGCTCAGGTTCACATATTGATGCATTGATGTGATATCTATTATTTCATTCAGATATTAATCATCTTGTGGATGCAGCCTGCAAGTAGAAGCCTTGTCCAGAATCAGATGACCTTCCTTTGGAGCAGAGGGTATAAGGCATGGAGTTCTAATTACCCCATTATCCTGCTTCCTGCCATTTTCACTCTATACACAAGGCTCTGTGGATCTGGACCCAGAGGGATTTTTCCATCTGTGATTGTTCAAAGAAGAATCCTTCTAGGATTTGTCAACAAAGAATATTGAAGGTTTTTTGAAATTTTATTATTACTCTATTAAAGCACTAAAAAGGAGGTTGCTTTCACTCAGTAATAAATGGAGTCACTGGGATGCTAATATAATATAGCTGTACAGGTTGATGAGCAGATTTAATTATTGTCATCTCGTAAAATTCATAGCATTCAAGTGCTGTTAACTCCATGTCTGTGGAGTGTGTAAAGTATACTATTTTGATCTTTTCTTGCTAAGAAAACTAAGACTAAACTAATAGGTTAGGTTATATAGCTACAGTAGGTAATGCTGCTGGTTTTATTAATACTTTTATTTACTACAATCTGTAAGTTTAGAGCACTAATTTATCCAGAAAATAAATATGTTGAGGTTCTATATGTATGTAAACTTTGTAGTTTATACGTTTGTTGAGAAAGCATTGGGGGAAAAAAATTAAAAACACAACTGCATATTTTTTTCTAATTTATTATGGTATTTACCATATATTACCTATAATGTATGTTAATACACATCCATATTTTGTACAAAGGAAGTTTCATCTTCTTTTATTAATTCCAAATGGTGGTGTTGATTTTTATTGAATTTAAAATAATTTTATTTTTCTCAAATTTTTCTCAAATCTGCGTTTTCTGTTCTTAAAGTATTTGCTTTAAATTATTAACCTGAGGTATGCTTTAGCTTATTCTTAATTTGTTAAAAATGAACCTTTTGATTACATCTAACATAAATACACATTTCTGTGATTTGTGAAATAGCATAATTAGAGAGAATTATTAGAGAATTTATGAATTTCCCACTTTATAAATGATAGTTTGTTTGCATTTATTTAGTAGTATTTAATCTTCTTTCTCGCAATACCAATACCGTACTACATTTTCTCCAGTACAACTGTAATAAAGGCATCTTTGGAAAAATTTGTCAAATAAGAATTTTATCTTTAATAGTGTCAGGTTAGAATATTTCAGAATACAGTTTCATGTGGAAATCGTTTTAGCCATTTCTTGGTGGTAGTCCTCTAGTTTTGTAGAGTGGTCCCAGTCCTGTTTAACTTTTTTAAATGTTTTTTTTTTTCATGTATACAAATACATCTGAGAAAGGGTTGTGTTTAGGCTGCACTCAGGTGTTTATATTGCAGATTCCACAGTGCAGAGTTAAAGAAACAAAATCTGGAAAGTGTTTTTATTGCCATTTCACAACTGTAGATCTGACATGTTGTTAGTAAACCCAGTATTCCAGAGAATACTACTAAGAAATGTTTTTAAACCATATAATCCTCTCATAGTCATAGTAGATGGTACTCACTCTCTGTGATTTTGTTTGGCCAGAAGATGTACAGTAGCGTGTTCTCCTCAGGCAATGATTGTGGAAGGACTGTGGCTTTTTCATGTCAGACTTGATGACACACCAGCACTCTGTGCTGTACAAAAGCACAGATTTGACGTTGCTATTATATAGTATTTTAGTATTGAGGCTGAGTTGTTTATTCCTCAGACGTTTCCCAGCCTTACCTCAATGTGCTTTTGAGCTCCATTGTTTTTGCTGATGAGACTTGGTGTAGACGTAATCTTGGTAGTTAAGCTAGAAAATGCAGACTGCATACGCTCGTTCTCTAACCTAACATTCTCTTATTAGAAAAGAAGGAAAAACAATTCTTTACTCCAAACATCCAAGGTCTCTCTTGATTTTAATCAACATATTAAGATTGCTGGCATGGATAGGAGGTAGCTTCTGAGGGGATGGTTTATATAATTAAACCCTACATTTGAATCCCCTTGGTCTGCCCTTGAGAGATACAGTACTACTCCTCATGGTCAGTTCTTCCAAGTGTACGATTGTACTGCCAAAGTATTTAAAACATTTTTAAATATTTTCTAACACAGTACAAAATGTCTTCAGTTCCCTTTGCCATTGATGCTAGGGAAGAAGAAAGTTCTGATGAGTCTTTTCTTAATAATTGCAGTGGAACACTTGACTATAGTCTTTTAGCCCTTTCAGGACTAACAGTATCATGAAATCCAAATCTCTCAGTTTACAGGTTGATATAGAAGAGGTCTATATAAATTAACTCAGGACATGGCTGACACACTATTGCTACATATGATTATGAACTGTCTTTTGAGATATGGTAGGTAGGTTCCAGGCCATAAAGGCCCATGGGGAATGGGGGGGGGCCAAGGGCCACCATTTGTCTCAACCATCTGACCCTGGAGGTGGAGGTGATGAGGTCAGCATCACTCTCTGGCTGGCCTGTTACCCCCAGAAGGATTAACCCCCAGTGCTCATTTGGAAAGCAGGCTGAGTGGACCTGGGAGCCATCTGGAAGGAATTAGAGCAATCTACTTCACCTGCCCCTACCTGGGATTGAACCCGGGACCTTCTGGTCAGGAGCAAGACACTCTTGCTGTCTGAGCTACCAGGGCTCCCTTTTGAGAAATGCATTAACATATTAACATAAGAAAAGTCATCAATGACTTTTGTTGGCCATTTTGGTGATGTAGTCCCTGTTTGGGTGCTTGTGGTTACAATGTCTGAGGCTCCTTGAAAGAAGCCAGGTTTTCAGCTTCACCAACATGGTGGGGTTCCTTGATCCTGCTCCCACAACTCTTAGTGTAAAGGGCATGCCTCCTGCTCTCAGTTTGCAATGCCCTTCCATGAAGTGGAACAAAACTGCACAAAACAGCTCTCGAGGGAAGGGGGGGGGGGTGATTTGTTGTACAGATTTTAAACATTCAACACTTTCCCTAATTGAAAAAAAACAGAAGGTTTAGATTTTTTTTTCTAATACGAGCCCTAGAGAAAGGTTTGTTTTTCGAGTGCTATAAGCTTTCTTTGTTTCTAGGAAAAGCTGTTAGCTGAATAGTGGTAATCCGGTTGCAAATTCCTTCTCTGCCCCCCGGAGAAGCTGGAAAGTGCCCTGCTGGTGCAGTTTTCCAGCTTCCCCAGTAGAGGGAGCCTGGTGTTCCCTTCGGCTTGCGTTTCTCCTGGCTGCTCCACCCTCGGTGACAGTCAGTCAGCAGGTAGACAGTGAATGAGATCCCAGGGGAGGGAACAGGGAACTGAGGACGAGACGTTGGAATGACCGCGGTAATCTTTTTCCAACTTTGTTTTTCCGTGACAATTATTGTACCGGACCCCTTCTGAAGTCGTCTGCTATGTTTCTGTTGATATTCTACGCAACTTTGTAGCTTCTTTCTACAAACACATTGATACCTATCGGATTTTCGGCAGAGTTTTATCCCAGCAGGAAAGAATTTCGTGTCAGAAATTGGTTCATTTAACATCTCTGGAAACCCGAGGAAGAATTCGGTGTGGAAGTGACTTACCGAACATGTTTGAAGTGCAAAAATAAAAATAAGAGTATTTTAACCGTCTGACGGAGCTATTTCAAAGCCTACATGTGATTTACAACCCTTCTGGATTATAAGTGAAAGTTTGTGCGTGCATTTTACACGCAACTTTTTAAAAAATGATATTTCCTCTCGCGGTTTCTGATCGCCAGTTATTTTCATTCTGCTCGTTTTCATATTGGAATGCTCCCGAAGTAATGGAATGAAAAATTAAAATAACAAGTTTTGTAGTTTTTTTTCACTTTCTTGAGAAGATTGACAAACTTTTTTTGGCAATACGAGTTTCACGCTTCACCATTCCCGTGGTTTAAATAAGTAGACCTCGCTAGTCACGTTTTATAACTGGAGGATTAAACATCGAGGATAACTGAGTTTCGGTTCAAGGATATCCATGTGGAAGTTTTTTTTTCCAGACCACTTATGCTTCATATGATAACATACCGAGCTACCGCATTTTCAATATATCTTTTCTGTTACACTAAACACCGTGGATTAAACGGATTTTTTGTTATGCTAAAATAATTTATACAACACGTGTGCTGTGCCCGAGTCCAGATGAGGGGGTTAATATTTGTGTGAAGTGCTACAAAGTTTCGCAAGTTTTTAACTGTAGCTGGGAGAACAGCTACTCTAAATCTATGGAGTACACCAAACCGCGTCTTCTTTAGGAAAACGAAAGTCTCTGGATTTACTACACTAAAGATCAAGTGAACCAAAACCAGAAGGAATCTGACATATTAACGTTTGCACCAGGAATACGTTTCCATCAACCAGGAATTCTTTTAATCTTGAGTGCATTGAGGAATGGAAAGACAGGACTGTGTGTTCCCAATATTTACTTCAGCGCTTCGCCTTGTTTACGCAAACAGTGTTCGGCCTCTTCTTTGTTACGCCGGTTAGCCAAAAATGTTTTCGAGTAGACATTTACCAAGTGTCGTGTTGAAGCAAAACGGTATTTTCCGCCACACCATTCAATAAAGCAGGCGTGTTCAAATGCACGCTCGGTTTGCACTCGGGCGAGCAAAAACAGAAGTGTGTTTTCTAAGTGACAGTTTTCCTATCTGTAATTGCACGTACCACAATGACCGGTTTCCGTGCCTTTTTTAGAAATTGTCTGCCGGAGAAAAGAACTTTGAACCCGGGTTCCAGTTCGACGACCAAACCATAGGAAATCGGGTTCTCGATTCAAGGATTTTAAAGCAACCCACGTGCAAGAGGAGTTTGGATACCGTGTCTGCAGATTGACTTCCACAGGTTGCAGCACAGTTTTTGAGGGGGGTGGGGGGGGAGAAGAAGGAGGGGAGGGGGTCTTTTTGCTGGTGGAGTAACTGGAGTAGGCTGACCGCTTTCCAGCACACGATGCGCGGCCGGCGCCCGCCGCTGCAGCCGGGGCAATGACCGTAAGTCGGCGGCAACTGCCCGGGCTCTGGCCGTGGCTGCTAATGGCGGCCCTACAGGTGGTGCTCGGGCAGACGGGTCTGGAGCTGGCGGCGGCGGTGGAGTCGGAGCGATCGGCACCCAAAGCTGTCATTAAGGTGACACTGCTGAAACAGGAGCCGGCGGGCAAGCCCATCACTCTGGAAGGAGTGTTCGCCGGCGCCAGCGTAAGAGCTTCCGCTGAAGGAAAGCTTATGCAGGTGGGTATGGAGGTGCCACTGGGAGAGAAAAAAAACTTCACTTTCACCTTTATTCCCCCTTCTCTTAAAAACCTCGCCCGGGGCGGTCCAGTCCGGAAGGTCCGGCGTGTCTGAAGGTTTTATTTTTTCCCAACTTGGTTCAAGCTGGTGATCGTCTTTTTTTTTTTAGATCAATGTTTAAATCCCAGTCACTTGGGTGCTGTTTCTTTAAAGAGATCTCGAAAACCTACAGACAGCCGTCCCGGACTGGTCAGCCCTGAAACCGTGATGATTTAATAGTATTGCCCTGGGCTATGCATCGCCATACATCTGGGCTGTTTATATATACACATATATTATGTTTACAATGCAGACAATAAACTATTTTCCCAGAAGCATCATTCGGTCAGCTGTACCGAATGGGCCCAAGTGTTTAATAGCCAAGGATAAGCAGATTTGAGAATATAGAAAATAAGGTTTACTTTGTTGTCCCTCTGCTTTTCAATGTTCTACAGTCTCGGCACAGCACTGAAAGGGGGTTAGCTATATGTAATAATATGTGTCCGTCCGGGTGAACCCCAGCAGGTGACTGTCGCCTACAAAGGGCAGTGGAGATAGGCTGCCGTTTTTCTTTCCCAAAAAATGTGGAGCGCTTCTGTTAACATGAACCTCAAGGTTCTGTAGCTTGCTGCCTAAGTGATACCCACAAAAATCTTCTAGTATTTTGTGACACTTTAAACCCTTTCTTTTCTAAAAAAATATTATTCCCGCGGGGCTGCGGATAGGGAAATGCGGAACAAAGAAACATTAAAACAATAAGGCTCTACAAAATCATTACAGTCTCGCTGAAGTGCTGATGAACCTGATAACGATCTTGAAATTAAGAGGCGTTTGGATAGAGAGGACTTCCAACTTCATTCCTGCGCCGAGCGAGAGCTGGTTACAGTATTTGTAAACTGAACTCCTTGTCGCGATCCCAGAATGACGGTTGTTTTGGTATTTGTGACATGCTTTGACATTGTGTGTGATAACAAAATTACTTCAGGGAAATATGCTAACACGGAGACAATTTGTGTTGTATGGCTTTCACCTTGAGTATGGTATCGTCCCGAGATTTTGTTGCCGACAATGTTTAGTAAATAAAAAGATGGGTGTTTAAAAGCATATTAGGTTTTTTAAATTCTCTTTCACGGATGCTAATTCTTTATACCTATGAACTTCAAGGGCTACAAAAAAGTTTGTGTTGCCAAACAATGCAATTAACTTTACACTTATGTTTGAATACAATTACTACAGCTTGTAACAGTTTGCATAAATTAACTAGGCCCTTCCCTGTCAGTTCACCGAATCTGTAAGTTTTAAACCTGTTTTTTTATTTTGAAAATGCACAAAACTGTTCATTTATTAGGTATGTGCAGTTCTCAAAATGGTTTTAGATAGATGGAAGCAGAATAATTTTAAAATGACAGCTCTGTGCTTTTTTAAAAAACCTGCTTGCTGCTTTTATTGAGCAGCAGAGTGGGGGGGAATCTCTCAAGTTATTACCCCTTAAAATGTGCTTTTTTATTTCCATGCATACAGATACATGTGCAAATTAAGTGAATGGCCAGAAGTAATGTTATTTCATTCAAGTATCATTTTCCTCCAGAATGTGATTTTTGTCAGACTTTGCCAGGAGAGCTAACCTGAAAAATGCTGGTAGCTAATTTGAATACCACAGAACTGAAGATCCCACAAGCAGCTTTTAATTAACGGCTTGTCTCTTCTCCTCCTTGGAAGGGAAAAGCTGTGTGAGGAGCCCAGCAGCTCGTCTCTGAAATGTCTTTATTGTCATTAAGAGAGGGTGACATGATAGAGGCTCTCCAAGTTCTGCTTCTCCCTCTGCTTGCCAGGTGTAAGGAAGGCCCTAAGCAGAAAACCAGACGCTATAATCTTCTGCACTCGCAAGGCAGCCTGTAGTAGTTTGAGGATTAAAACAGGGCCTCATTGGAAGGGAAAGCCCAAAACATTACTTCTAGCAAGGAAGTCTGGAAAAAGAAGGGGATTGTTATTGAGAAATACTTTTTTATATATATGTTTTGGTGGAGGAGTTCAGTTTGCCAGCATTCCAAATGAAATCCTTGGGATATCGGATGTTTTTTCTGTTTTCCACAAAAACTGTAAACGTTTGACACCTACTGTAGTAAACACTTGTCCTGGTTAATGGGAAATTACATTTTAACCCTCTTCAGCAGTTCACTGTTATTTCAGAAGACACACTTTTGAGGCCAAATAGAGTCTGTCTAAAGGTGAAGACAAATCCCAGGCAAAACTAACAGTAGTTCACATGGCATTGTGAGCTTGCAGAATGTAGCTTTTTACAGTAAATTCTCAGCTTAACAGACTTTGCTTTACCCGACCTCAGATTTACTGGACAAAATCTGTTTATAAAATTACAAATATCGGGCATTCCCCGCAACAATGGGGATATGCACAAGCAATCTAAAGAATATAAATAAATTCTGCATAGGTTTATAATTCAGGAGTATCAATGGTGACCTATTGGGAATACCTCAGGTTGTTTATAATAGGTGGCGTTTGTGTTTGTATGGTTTACTGAATTTCATACAGTATATTTACAACTTATGAAATAGAGTTTGTATATTTATCAAATGCATATGAGCAATTTTAATTGACCCTGTTGATTGTTGTTGTTAAAAATAGGTCGAAAGATCCAGAATGCATCAATATAGTTAATCTATTTTTCTTATAGAATAGCGTGTTTGTTGGGCGAAAAAACATAATTTGTTATTTACCGGACATTTTGCAATAATGGACACGCCCTCCCCCTTCTATCAGTCTGTTAAACCAAGGGTTTACTGTATGTGAAGATGTGTACGAGACAGGAGGGGACACGTTAGTATATAAATGGTAACCCTTAAATAGATCTGGGGTTTGGTTTTACCTGACGTTTGAAGCTTGTGGCCACTGCAGGTCTTAAACTGCTTCTCTTGACTTCTCTGCCTGTGAAATAACAAGTGAAGTCACTTGCCTGTACTTTCATTTCAGTGATGTGGTGAACACCAGCCGACTATCAGGTGTAGTTTAGATAGATATGTCATTGTCCACTCCTGTGGACATTTCTTGGGCTTCTTCTATAAAAGTACAAAATACACAAACGAAACATAAAAGTCACATAAATTCGCATGAAGTTCATGAAGTCACAACAACAGTATGTGATACATCAATGGATAAATAAAGAGGTAGCTGGGGGGAACTACATGTAGATACATTCATTGTGCAGTTTTATTGTAGAGGGAACAAAGGAATTCTATATATGTTTTAATTTGAATTTGGTAGCCAATACTGTCTTCCTGATGGGACTATTATTAATTGAGAGTACTTCAGCAGGGTTTAGCTGTTTTCATTGCTTCTAAAGACCCCCAAACCTTCCCTTTTAAGATTAGCTCTTTGCTGTCTGTCGCTGAGGGGAAGTGTGTTTGTCCTAAACTAAAGCTGAAATTCAAGAGTGAGCTCACAGCTCAAGGTGAGATCTGAGGATTGCGACTGGGGGTTTCTTGCAAATGTAAAATGGGTCATCAATGGTGGTGCTTCAGGATTGACTGACTGATATGGAGTTGAATGAAATGCAGAAAGACCGAAACATGGGCTGCAATCCCTGCGGTTATGTTGGTGTACCGAGTCTGGGATGTTGCTTTCCAAAAAGGTGGCTGTTCTATAAGTGTGCTTTGTAGCTGGGTTGGCCTGTTCAGGCAGGCCTCTTACCTCGGCACACTGCTTTGTGTTCCTGTCCTCGGGCTAAGTGGAGGTAATTCAGAAATGTTGAGGCCCTTTCTATTCTTTGAGTTCACACCCTGCCCAAGTTTCTTGGAACAAAAGTCTTTCTCTTCTTCAGCAGGCATTTTTTGGGTCGCTGGTCAACAACGAGTAGTTTTGGGAAGGTTGTTAAAGTTTTATTGTGCTTTACTTTTAAGGAACCTTAGCAGTGAACGGATAATAGTAAAAGAGACTTTTAGAAGTCACAAGCTGAATGTTTAAAAGCAGGCATGTCCTGTAGAGATTCTCAGAGTGCTGGAAGTTCACCTCCTTTATTTGACCCTTTTTGGAGGATGGGCACAACTTTCCTTATTATGTACGAATTGCACTGTATTTGCCAGGTTTGAACTGTCAGGAAATCTGGGTTTTTCTGTAGTTTAAGGCACATGTTGATGAATTGTTTTGCTCATGTACTTTCTAGTCAGTGATTAGCTGAAAGCAAGACATTTGTTAATAAAAATAGAGAGGTGTACACTGCCTGCCAGTTATTAGGGGAGCTACAAATGAACCTGTTTACAGAAGCAGTGAAAAGAGCCAAATGTACTTTGCTCAAAAGCTGAGGTACAATTTATACACGTATTCCCTTACAACCTAGTAAACTAGTGGAAGAGTTCTGTCTTTCTCACTGAGCTAACAGACAGTTTAATTAGTAGTTACCTTCAAGATGTCAGGATTGGATGACAGTGGGGTTATGTTCATTACTGGGAGGAGTACGTTTAAAAAAAAATCTATGCTTGTTTTTTCTTACCATGTGATTTGAATATCAATGGGACAACCTCAGCTCTCCCCCTCACTGTAGGCAGTTTGTCAGTCAGATTTATAGATGTTTAATATTATAAATAAGACCATAAACCTTAGAGTGCTCACTTAGCAGACCTACTGTCATAATCCTAATGTGTCTCATAGACAAATAATATTAAATCAGCACAGGTTTGAATCTCAAGCCTGACTAGTTTTTGAAATTAAGCAGCTGACAGCCTGTTCAGGCTGGAGACTGAAGAAATGCAGTGCTTCTAAAAGAATAATCTAGTTTCCCTTATTGTGATTTGAGTGTACTACAGTAAAAAGAACATTCTGCACATTAAAAACTGTCAGAGTGCTGTTGTAATAGGCATAGTTTAGAGTCTGATTTGGTTTTAGTGCTGTATGTGGTCTGTTCAGTATGCAGTGTGTTGCTTCGGTTCAGCAATGGTCTGTCAGAGCAC